TAGGATATCAACTCTGGTTCGTAGTTGATGATGATGGGACTACTTCAGCATTGTCAATTTTGAACTCTTGGTGTGTTCTTATTTGGTGTATCTCGTGATGCCAGTCTGCTGTGGTTTGAGGTCAAGACTATCTGGGCTCATATGTATGATGCTGTTTGATTGCTGAAGTTCGCTAATGCTCATCTTCCTTGCAATAAAGTAAACAACTCGTTATTACAAACCCAAGAAATGAGACAGGGACTCTTGGACATATGCCTGGCCCATGACCGGAAAAGCAAACATTTCCCGAACTGGGAGTCACTAACTTGAGCACCAGCAACACTAGCGAGGCAGTTGGCAGGGAGGAGAAAGGAAAGGGAAAGGGAGCTGCAACAGGCATTTAAAATAGCAGAAAGGAACCTCATGGTCAATCCGCGATCTCGGATTTATGAATGGGTACTGCAGAGGCACAGACTGAGTTGGGGGAGTGGGAGAGATGGGAGGAACTCCGTAATCGCACAACTGGAGAGGGGGAGGGGGAACGAGCCAACAGCAAATGCAGAGAAGAATCAGGAGATGGTAGAAGTGGTTCAAAATTTTTACCATAATCTGTATATCTCAAGGGAGCAAGAACAACCACTGGATCATTCGACGGAAGCAAGGACGGAATTCTTGTCTTATCCAGAAGAAACCATCAACCAGAGCAAGCGGAAAGCCTGGAATCGCTGCTCTCTGAGGGCCCGGACAAAACCTCGGGCAGGGATGTACTGACCAGGGAGTTCTAGCTAGCATATTGGCTGGTCCTGGCCGGTGAAGATGAGGCTTTCCTTAATAATGTCTGGGGCTGGGTCCGTCTACAGGGATCCAAAGTACATTAAAAAAAACTACCGACCTATCACTTTTCGGTCCCTGACCCATAAGACAGATGCTAAGGCCCAAGGAAACAGATTACGGTACATTACTCAGGAGTGCTTTCATCTAGACGAGACAGGCTTTATCCTGAGGAGGTTCATCCTGGACAATGTCATGACGCTGACGGAGTCAGTGAGGTATATAAACAGTAAAAGAATAAATGCAGCAGTTCTGTTATTTGACTTCAAAAAGGCTTACGACAAGGTGAGTTGGAAGGATGGGAGTGAGCGCCAACTTTCGAAAATGGATAAGGGTTCCGTGCAATGATGCTGATGGC